GATGTAAACGCCCCACATAAATCTTTGTTCACAAAGATAAATCATTCTCACCACTCCCTCATCACACGTTTCTGAAAGCGTGACTACAAGTTATTCCTGCAGTTCACGTTGAGCTAAGCAACCAGAGCTAAGAGTTTTGGACTCTTACCTTGATTTCTTCAAAGAAACATAATTCCACACAGGGGGTTGACGTAAATATCCATACAGGTCAGCCTGTGTCTAGTTTACTCAAAGGAGGCACGCACGCAGTCCGGACTGAGGTAAATTTTAAAGATCAAGCAGCGACAGCACGCAGAGGCACCAACTGTGTAATTGACCTGCTCTCCGGCTTTAAAAGCATAAATTATAAACTTATTCATAAACTATCTTTTAGGAATAACTTTGCTCCACCAGTGAAACGCTCTGAGCAACAGAGACCTTTTCAATCCGGGTTTAATTTGAAGAAGAAAAAAAAAATATATATATTTTTTATTATTATTATTCATTTTTTCTAAAAACAAAAACAAGCAACGCTTGGCCTGGTGGGGGCCTAGTAAAGCATGGTGGGCCGCCAGGCTTATAACACTGCACAACATTAACTTTTTTTTTTTGTTTTCTTTTGTAGAAGAAGGTAAATCCCGATCTGCAGGTAGAGGTCAAGCCCAGCATCCGAGCCCGAAAGATTCAGGAAGAAAAGATGAGAAAACAGATGCAGAAAGAAGAGTACTGGAGAAGAAGAGAAGAGGAGGAGCGCTGGAGGATGGAAATGAGGTACGGATTTGCTCTGCATTGGCTGTGAAACTTACTACATGCACATCATTGCACTTCACTTAGCCTAAAGTCAATGTCATGACATCTTTAGCAGTTCACCTCAGTGATCATAAATGGATGATAACGCAAACCTTGAGTTGATGGTAACACAATTATGACAGCTGATCCATATCAGCTGTCGTGATATGGGTTGTTTACCGTATACATCGATAAACTGTGAAAGCTGTAAATTCCACCTCTCACTGGTTTGGGCAGCACCATGAGACGAGTGCTATGACACGAGAGTCTCCAGGCTGTTGCTATACCATAGTGCTGGTGTCAAATATACTGCAATGTGATCCGATAAGTCCATATCTCCTATTGCTGGGTTGCAGATGACATAGTGCCGACGTCACGCAATGCAGATGGGGGGTCAGAAAGTAAATGCAGCCTGTTTACTTCTGGTGCTCCAGCTTCAGAATGCCTAAAGTCTGTGCCATGTGCAGATATTCCAACCGTTCTAATAGAAAAATAAACGTTATTTTCGTGTTCTGAAGGTAGTTGGTCACAAGGGAGCTGATTTTAAAGAAAAAACTTACCAAAAAAAAAAAGACGAGAAGTGTTTGCAGTGACCACTTTCTAACAGGTTAGGTTCATACCGTTTAAATTGTATTTTCAGATATTTTATTGGACAGTTAGATAAGCACTCGTATTTAAGGTAAGATATATAATTTTTATGCCCTAGCTTGGTCCAACCATGTTTTTAATGGGGTTTCTGCACCAGTGCACAAAGCAGTGTGCACCAATTACTCCTTGTGATTGGTGCACACTGTTGGCCACCTCACACACTGTA